GGTTTACTCCCATCGCAGCAATCGGGCTTTAGGCGTGGGTATAGCTGCACTACATCAATGCTGAATTTAACAGATGATTTGTTGACTGCTCTTGACAGAGAAATGAATACCGCCGTAGTTTTCTTGGATTACTCTAAGGCATTTGATACTGTTAACCACACTGTTATTTGTAAATTATTTCGATATTTGGGATTTACTGAAGACACAGTATCTATTTTACGTGATTATCTTAGTGATCGCACACAGCGGGTCAGGATTGACGATTCTGTTTCTAGTGATTTGGCAGTAACAAGCGGTGTTCCGCAAGGTTCTGTGTTGGGTCCTATCTTGTTTTCTTTATATACTTCGCAGTTCAGCAAATTTATTCAGTTTTGTAAGATTAACTCTTATGCAGATGATACACAACTGTACGCTTCTTATGTGGATGCGGATAGTGGTGTTGTTGAATATAATATAAACAAAGATCTTGAAAAAATATTTACTCTTGCTTCTTACCATCACTTAAAAATAAACCCTGAAAAATCTATGTGGATGTGCTTTAGTAGTCAAAAGCGTGTTGCTGCTCCTGACTTGGCTATTAAGTTGAATGATACGTTAATTAAAAGAGTTTCAGAGGTTAAGTGTCTTGGTTTGATTTTGGACAATAATTTTAGATTTAAGCAACAAATTGCCATGTATATTAAAAGATCTTACTGCAATTTGCGAATTCTCTATCCGCATCGGTCATACTTGCCCATAAAAGTGAAAATAAGTTTGTGTGACGCATTTGTGCTCTCACATTTTAACTTTATGTCTGCTAGATATCATGGCGCTATTGATGTGGTCACTTCGCGAAGAATACAGAGAGTACAAAACAGTTGTCTTAGATTCATCTATGGAATTCGAAAATTTGAGAGAATTTCTTATAAACTTAAAGAGGCTGGTTGGTTGAGTATGTGCAACAGGAGGGAATTTTACAGTTTGGTTCTATTCCACAGAATTGTGGTCTCTGGAATTCCGGAATATCTATATAATAAAATTATATTTAAACCACAGCTTCGTCAAACCAGGTCGGGAATGAGTTTCTATCCGCCGAGATTTGGAACTTCATTGTTCCAGCGATCGTTTACGTATCACATTTACAAATCATACGGATCTTTACCAATTGTGTTGCGACAGTTGTCTTTATCTCGATTTCGCACAGAACTAAGGAGACTAATGTTTTGTCAGCAGTCAGCGGATGTCAGTTGATTCTCATCTGAATTAAGTTTGTTTTTTTATTATTTTCTATTGCAGGCTTTACAAGGGCAACCTTATCAGGTTGTTTTTCTTTTTTCTTTCTTTGTCTTTTCTTTTCTGTTTATTCGGTTGGATAGAGCAGATTTATCTGGATCCCGCCGTTTGTATCTCGATATGGGTATATATATGTATATGTTTTTAAATTTTAATTTACGATAACACATTGGGGTATCGTTGTTTTCATTTATTGTTTAAGTTATTATAATTTCAAGATTATACATATTCATTTAGTTATACATTTTGTGGTGTATGTATACATATATATATATATATATATTTTCTATTTGTTTTATATGGGATACAATAAAGTCATATTATTATTATTATTATTATTATATACCCAATTAGAGACTTGTCGACTCTCTGTTTAGTAGCTTTATTTTTTAGACCATCCTCATCGAGCGTGGTAGGTCGATGTGGATCTTCTGCTAGATCGCTCGATTCGTGTGTTTCATCAACATCTTGTCGTTCCTCCGGAATACTGGATTTCGTTTCAGAGAGAGATTTTTGGAGAGAATATTCCATATTTCTAGATAATTTTGTATGGCATCTATAAACTATACCACATCTAATTTCTCTTTAAAAGCCAAAGTATCATGGACCTGGAGATGCGCTTGCTATTCCGCTGTGGTTTCATGGACAATAACGGCTCAAAACAACCGCGTCGTGCACACACGGCGGATGAATTGAGCCGGACACAAATATGCATCCTTTGATTAGTACTTTGGGCGGTTATTCCGGTGTCGCAGGGGAGCTGGGCGGTAAAAAGCTGCTAGTGTGTACCGGGCATAAAGATACAATTGTTTCCACATTAAATTATATGTGCAACCAAGCAAAGATTGATTCTGGCGAAACTGCAACATTTTGTACATCCGCTGCAACTGACATCAATGGATCCACCTCTGATCATTGGGCTCATTAGAAAACAAAACGATGAACTCACAACATTTCCACACAGCAGTAAAAAGCCTTACTGAAAATCCGTTTGTAATGTTGGAAGAAATAAGAACAGTTTACCACCCCAACCTATATGAACTAGGTCCAAATTTTTGTAATTGCCAAAAAGTTCAGAACTAAAGAACTTTTGAACCAAAACATGCATATTAAAATGTATTCATCATTTTTTGTACATGAATCAAATAAACCAAGAATATTATTTCAACTTTTAATAAAAATTTAATTTAAGGGGATTTTAACAATCAATTATTTTCTAAAAGGTAATCAAAACTTAACTCTATCCCATACCTTCTTTCTATATGAAAATATGGCGTCGGGGTCACGTCACTTTAATGTAATAAGATCCAAGTGATTAAATTCTGATTTTAAATATTTCGTCACGATGCTTTCACCAACAAAATTAATCGATCGAAACTAGTCACAACTTACCTCAACCCCGCCTGACCGTGTTAAGATGTGTTGTTGAAACACATCTAAACATAACGAGAAAATGCCTCGCGAGGCAATTTGCTCTGTTGCCTCGTTAAGTTCACAAACGAACTAAACGACAAGTTCGTCTGTAAATTAAAGGGAAAAATGAATAAGCATTTTTTTAAATAGTATTATTTACCTAATTTTAATTGGATGATGATGATTAACTAAATCGTTAAATTATCTGGAAAAACAAACTGAACAAACTATAAAAGCAACTTCGGACATCAACGTCGATAAAGAAGGACATATTATTGATGCGCCATCTATGAGTTGAATCAAAAATTAACTCATTAATAATTCTATTGCAATTTTTGGCACTAATGGCAAAATTATAAAAATTATCATTAATAATTTGAAAACTAAACTGAGAATTAATTAATTTAAATCGTTTAATGTAAATGAGATTTAATGTAAAAAATTAGTTGATATCAGCGACCTCTATAGGATTTCCTTTTTTTTTGTAATACATAAATGCAACTTTTTATTCATCGCTTATTGTAAGTAAGTTTAAACAATCATTTTTATATACCAATTCAATTAATATAGATTTTTATAAATTACCCATTCAAAAATCTATATCTTTAAAATTTATGTTTTTAAACTTTACTAATGACGCTGTGAAGTTAGTTATTGAAATTGTTGTCAATTTACCTAACCTCAATCGATTCAAATCCCGCCGAACTTTTAATCGTCATATTTAATTGTGAGTCGATTGATATTCAAACCAACAGCTCAAATCCGGTCTAATCCTACGACTACTAAAGGTTGTGGTTAATAATTTGTGCCATTAAAACGTGGTTAAATATGAACCTTAAAAAAATAGTTGTAATGAAAAGATGGTCAGTTTATTAACTTGTCAGTTTTTTAAATAAAATTCTAACAAAATATTCGTTTTTACTATTGTTACAGATAAAGCTGATTTAATTCGACACTGCTATAACCGGTGAACTAAGTAATATCAAAACTTGTCGGGAACATGGACAACGAACCGTCCACTAGCACAGCTTCAGGTTTATCTCCGAGGGATGTTACCAGTGTTGATGCTAAAACCAAAGAAAAAGATTCTAAGAAAGAAAAAGCCCTTGAAGGAATTAAGCAGGTTTTGAATATGAGCGAAACTTATTCCAAGTTTTATAATGATAAGTTAACAACTAGTAGGTAAGTGAATTTAATATAATTTTTAAATGTAATTGTGTGTATGTTAAAGATGTAAATTAATATGATACATATATTAATTTATACTTGAAACATTGTTGAAATAATCTCGATAAAAGGAAAAGTTGGCATTTTAAAACTGGTAAATCCAGTTCACCTAACAAAAAGTATTTTATTCAATAAACAGGGAATATATGTGTTATGTGTAATGGATGTTTAATGAAATTTGTATGCAAGAAGTCCACCTAAAAGATTTAAATTAATAAATTTTAAATTTTCAACAATGTTACAACAGCAATGTTCAAGATGAAAAGGAATTGCAACCTTAATTTTTTGGGAGTACCTAAATGTATTACATTTACTAAAAAATCACATTTTCTTTGTTTTTAAATAGAATATTAGAAAAACATAAGACATAACAAGACTAAAAATTGTACAATAACTACATTTTTCTCATAACATTTGTTTCAACATGTTATTTATACTTTATTCATAGTATCAACCATTACAAAGAGTTATAAAACTTTATTGCAACAAGTTACTTTTCACAACAACACAGATCGAACAGTGAAATGTATTCTATACAGAGTGTTTCAGGTTTTTGTAGCAGGACTTTAACAGTCAATACATCTTTTAATATTACCACAAAAACTTCATATATACACAGGTTAACAAACGCTTTGTTTTGGAGATACAGGCTGTTCAAATTAAATTTCTAAATAGATTTTTATTTAATATTACACGTGTATTTCAACCAATTCTATTCAAATTTGGATTATAGAGTCCGGTAGAGGGGTGCTCTGTAACATATTCTTTACGGATTACAATAACAATAACTTTTCTGACAGTATACTTTTTGGCTTTTTGAATAAAAATTCTTATTATTATTTATATTATTATATAAGAAAGTACCCTTAAAATTGCCTAAAGAATCACCCCCTGAAATTTGGGCACGTCATTCAGATACACCCTCCTGTATATTAAGCTTTTTCTATATTTATTGCCATTCACTTCAACAACGTACGGTGTAGGTGACTAAGTTTTGCTACTTTCCGGACTTATGAGCAGCTATTGGCTGTCCAATTTGTAAATTAGGCAATGATTTGCATGCTTTATCATAACAATATTTTATGTTTTGTTTATTATTTTCTATTATGTCAGGTACATTCGTTATTACTTCAGGTTTGTAATTTTTTATGGTACAAGGTGTTAGAGTTCTAGTTTTTCTAGAGAATATTCTTTGTACAGGGCTAGATCCAATTTTATTTGGTCTTCATTATTTTCGTCAGATTTTCGTATAAGCTTTTTCAATTTTTACTGTGGCTTCCGCTTTTCCATTGGATTGCGGATAGTGCGGTGAAGATGTTATGTGCTGAATATCCCAGTGCTTTGCAAAATTTTGGAAATCTTTGTTAACAAAATTCGTTGCATTATCGCTGTATAAACATTGCGGTATACCATGTCTACTGAAGTTCTTTTTACAGATATTAATCATTACATCAGCTGATAATTTTTTTAAGATGTCCAGTTCGAAATAATCGGAATAATGATCCACTGTAACTAGAAAATATCTCTTCTTTTTCTTAAATTCGATAGTAAGTACGTCTAAAGATACATGTTGAAATGCGTACTCTGGGATTGCATGTGTCTGCATTGGCGGTTTTATTTGAAATGATGAATACTTTATACATATCTTTATTTGTCAAGGTATGATCATAAAAAAGAACAGAATCCTTGCAAAGTCGCAACGTATCTTTGTTTAATTTACAATTTTCTTTATAAAGACGCATTTACAAATTTTCTAATTTTTTGTGACTTTTGTGAAGGTCGTGACTTTGTATATTTCACTTGACACATCTCCTTCATTCCTATTCTCGGGTTTTTTCTAAGTTTAGGTGATACAATAACTGTTAAAACTTTAATTCATATCTGTTTCAATACATCATTTTATTTTACAATCCATAAATGACATGTCAAAATTTGAATGTTATTTTGAATGTGTTTCCTAACCTCAACTTTATGCAACGAGACTCCTGAAGAAAGATGGTCTAGGCCGAAACCAGTAGAGTTAGTAAGTTTGTTAAATATATTGGAGTAAAAACATTGTTTATTTTACAATCTATCACATAAGTATAGGAATTATTTCAATTTTTTGGTTTTTATACATTTTCAGCATAATATATTCCTACAAATATTGGAATTTAGAGTTTAATAACAGTTTCCTTGCCAACATATTGACTTCTCTGGTTAGACTACACTCTAATACACATTTTAAGTTAAAAATATTTTAAATATTTCGATTGTTTAAACGTGATAAAATGTTTCGTGACTTAAGTTAATTTTTAAACAAACTAATTTTTTATGAGCGTCTATTTCAAAATTTCAATAATACATTTGTCGTATAAATTATGTTAAAAATTTCTCTGTTTTATAACCTTTCAAATGAGATATTGACTAAATGAAATTCAATTCGTTAATAAATATAAATCATAAATTATACCGGGTGTCCCGTTATGGGTACGGAGCGGCTGTATCTCGACAACGGCAAGGCCTAGAGGTTTGGGAAAAAATCCTTATAGGCGAAGTGGGCAAGAGAAATAACTGGAAATTATCTTGAAGTTCGTAATTCGACCGCTAGGGGGGCGTCACTCCCATAGAGAAACATAAAATTTCACACCTTATTTCTTTATGTAGGTAAGATAAAGGCGCACCAACTTAAAAGTAAGCACATTCTCCTGAGAATCTAGTTACTGTAGAGAGCTCTATGTTGTGCTCATCACACAGGCTTTTGTATGACATTTTACACAGAAGGATTTCGTCATTCGTCGATTAGAGGAGGGACAAATGGCGCAAATCTCTTTTTTTAGGATTTTTTATTTGTTTAGTTTAGTCCTCATTAATAACCCGCACCGGCTTAGGCAATATTGGTATTTCAAGTGTATCTGTTAACTGACTTTCGACAAGAACAATTTCGTCGTCATTCATTTTTTTGATAGTGCTACTTTGGTGCACATTATATTTTCCAGTTTTATAAACCAAACATAACACCAAGAAACAACAATACAATTCCATTACATAACGCATCTTGGAAATTCCAAAGTTACGCAAAAGCTCTGCTTCGTCGTTTCGACGACGTACAATTAAAAAAAATCATACTTACGAGATGCGTTATTAGCTGCATTTCCGCACACACCAATGACTTGACCACGGCTTGAACTATACGGAAAACGAGCACAAAACAAGCAACAACAAGAATTCTTTCCAACAAGTTTTAAATACAGGGTGATTTATAACATACGGAGCAGACTAAAAGGGTAGGTACTAGGAGCCAAATTGAAGATATTTTTCTAATAAAATTTTGACCACAACTTAATAATCACAAAGATATAGAACGTTAAAGTTGAAGTAATGGCCGAGCATTTCTTACCATATACGGTATTACACTACGCTTAAATTCAAACTGCGAATATTTCGGGGTTACTTAAACAATGCATAATTAATAAAAATAATAAAATCTTTATAACATAGCAGTTACGGCTATTTAAAAATTTGTTAAAACGCTCAAACGGTGGTGTTTGTTTATTGAGAACCGCTGATACCATGTTTTTATTGCTGCCAATCCAGTTGATTTGGTTACTTAGCAACGGACAAGTATTTTAATTATTCTTTACTGAATATCAGCGGTTCTCAAAAATGGACGTNTTGACATTTATAAAAATATTTTGAAATGATTGTTGACAATTTTAAATTGTCAGTTTCAACAACATGTTTACTCATCTGGAATAAGTGTTTTGAAATGTAAAAACATAACAATTAATGTTTATAATAAATAGTATTGTTTCTCTGTAAGTAGATAGCACTTTTTCTTTTATATTGTTGGTCGTTTCAATAAATTAAGTCTGTTCTGATTAGGCTAAAAATGCGTTACATAATGAAACCAGTGCGGTAATGAACTTCATTACGTAACTCAAATCACCTCAAATGAGTGCGGTAATGATGACTTATCCAAGCAGTCGTAGATAAACAATTTTATTACATTAGTCCTTAAAATGTTGCCACATATAACTGTTTCCATTCTCCATATTTCCAAAATCAAAATAGCACAAATTGTACTATTTTCGATAAAATTAATTATTTCAGTTACAACTATTACTACCCATATGTCTCATTGGTATCTGTGCTTTTATTTTGTTCTCTATTTTAATCGTGTGACACTTCATTGCAATTATTCTTATATTATCTGTGCAGTTAATAAAATTCTTGAAATTTCAACCTTCTAAAGTTCTTTCTATGTTGATCAATTATTCAACAAGTCTTCTCATATTATTCAATTTGTAGGGTGTTAGTCTTCATGGTTTTCATTACACTGTTTTTACTCTGTGTCATATATTCGTATTTTGTTAATTTCTCTTTCTTCAGTAGTTTCTTGTTTCGGTTCTTTGAGAGTAACCACTTGACTAACGTAATCTGATAAACGGAAATTTATGGAAACTGTTTTAATGTCCAGATGACTGACATTCGGGAACACATTATCAACACAGGTAGAATAAGCTGCTCCAATTCGTGATTGTTCTTTGATTGAACCCTCCTCTCCCCGCAGGGCTGGATTTCATCAATCTGCTGCTTATCTCCGTACTTGGCCGACTTCCTGACGTTCTCAAGGACTCAATTAGTCGCCCTGGTAGACACCTCTTTCTACTTTAATTGTTTCACCGGTCTTATTTTAATTTCTGACACGGATATTCCAATTTTTAATTAGTTGGTTAATAATTTTTAATTAATTGGTAGTGTTCAGATCATTCTCCTTAAGCTCTCGTAAGATACAGAGTCGTACGCTTTTTTAAAATCGTATCATGCCACATAGTGCTGCCGTTATCTGTTGCCCCTAGCTTATTGTACGAGCGCTTTGTGTATCATCAGCTCATGCGGCACTGTTCCCCAAACTCCTGGTCTCGCCAGCTGCTCTTTGAGTATCTCCGGGTTTAAAACATTTTTTCCGCGAC